GCCTACAAAGAAGAGCGGTAACAGAACAAGAAATATAATAACAGTAAGTCTGCATTAACTAAAGTAGAAGGGTGATATAATAAAATATAATAATACATAAACTAAAGTAGAGGTGGAATAAGTTATAAAGTAACATTAACTAAAGTAGAGGGGTGATAGATTAAGAAATATAATAACAGTATATTAAAGTAGAGGGGTGATATAATCAGTCATAAAATAGCATTAACTAGAGTAGAGGGGTGATAGCATAACACTATATTAACTAAAGTAATTAACACTTATGCATTTCTTTTGAAATTTTACAACAAATAAAACGTGCAAAATAAAGTGTTTGTGTGCCTGCACTTGAATCATTCCCCTCAGATGTCTGTTTTAAAGCAGTGGGTAGTCTCTCAGTGATTTTCTTAATAAAAGACTACTACTTTGCATTATTTTCAGCGTTGCCAATGACAACCTCACAGGCTTGGTTATCATATAAAATTACTTGAATGGTTTACTAAAAGCTAAAATGTGTTTAAAAGTGTGACTGGAATGACCTAATAACAATAAAGCATGTATTTCAGAGAGTTGTTTGAGAAGGTATTTGTTTAAATCTCTTTTTATCTGTAAGTGCAGAGCTGTTTAAAATGGTATCGTTTAAGAGCTTGAACCATTTCTGAACCATTTCAGATTTTATCAGTTGAGCCAAATTAGCATAGTGTCCCCTGTATTCATACATGATCCTTTCATGTGCTTAAATCATCCAATTAGTCTATAGCAAATGTCAGTACAGTGCTTCTGTTCGTATCAATAACGTTTTTGTAAATCATTTCTTTTTGATCGAAACAGGAACCTGAACATGAACATTAAAAAGCAAGTGGACATTTTCACTTGTGGACACAAGAGGGCAGCATCTGATAATTCAAACACAAAGACTTTGCAAATTGTCTATGCTGTGTTGTTTGAAATGTTAATTAACGGATATTTCATTCGACACTAAGTTGGATAAACATGTTTGTCAAGGGAAAAAAGACTAATTTCATAGTAGGCCCATCTAAAATTAGGCTATATTAAAAAAATGTTGGTGGCTTGACTTAACTAGGTCTAACTTAACTACGTACGAAAAACGTGCCATTTGCTAAATTATTGTAATGTGCTCGAGAACAGTTAGACTGATAGGCCTGTTATGAAAGTCATAATTACTGTAGCTATTCCTCATCATCTTGTGAGTCTTCATAATTACAAACCTGTTCGAGTGGATTAGCCTACTAATGATCATTATTAATAGCGAAATTACTACATTAAAGTTAATATTCTGAATTAGCTAAGGTTGGTCGAATTACGAATAATAGAAAAATTTAACTTTTTTTCTCAAACAGCTCACTGGTGCATTAGAGGTATCGGTAGTGATCACACGCTTGGGTTAGTCTGTGGAGGTGTGAATCTCGCCATTTGAAGGGAGGACTGGTTTTGAACTGGCGCCACTGTGAAACTACAATTAGGATCATTGCTGTCAATCCGGTAATTTCTGTAGGTCTCTGAATGTGTCCCCTGAAGCGGAATCGCTTGTCTTTAGCCTTTGACACTGAATCGATGGCCGTCTATCAGATGTGAGCGTCTCCCAGTCTGTCTCTCATCATCAAACACTTCCCTATCTCCTGTGCCACTGCCGTCCGTCACTGCCTCCAGCTATAATAAACCACAGTACGCGCAAATTCCACACACAACCCAGATTGATTTATTTATTACAATCTGTTTCGTTAACTATTGCCTACTGTATCAATTAAACTTGTCTAAATAAATTATTAATGAAATAAATAAAAGCATATCACATCTTGAAGTGAATGCTGTTATGAATTTGATAGAAAGATTAAAATTCATAAACGCTCGGTAGGGGCTAATTATCCCATAATTATTTAAATAAGTAGGAGCTGATGGGATAGACTGAAAAAAATTGTAACCCAAAAATGGTGACATCTAAATCAACTGTTTTGATTCAAGTCAGTTAACTCTTTAACCTTGTAATTTTTTTTCTTTAACCTAACTCAGTATGTAGGCCTATGTATGTATGTATGTGTATGTGAGAAAACAATCAACACTTTTTACAGTGCATAATAAAATACATTAAAAAATTTTTTTGCAAGTGTGTATTTGACATGTATGTAAATAAATAGTATTAGCCAGCAACCTCACAGATTTTCAGGCAGATTTTTCAAATCAACGACATATGAATTTTTGACCAAAAAGAGGTTTAATTTTTCTAATTATGAATTTTGCTTTATATAAATAAATAAATAAATAAATAACACATCGTAGCCTACTGTTTGATGGGTGGATCTAAATGTTTTCATAACCTAGCCTACTGCAGCACTTGACTTGGTTATATTTGAAGAGCATTTATTTGTTTATTTATGGTTCAAGGTTGCCCAAAATGCCTTCAGTTGTGAAGCACATGCCCTGACCAAAGTGCTCAACACATTAGGGCGGGTAGAGCAGTTGAGATATCGATCGTTGTGCTCTGTGTGTTTTGCATGGGATTGTCTGGGGGGTAATTGAGTGTCACTGTCTGTCTGTGTCGTCTCGCTGGCGCCATGTGCCTCTTTGGATTGCTAATTTCTCTAAACGACCCGCCTACATCCACTCTCTAGTGCAGACCTGCAGTTTCCACCTCCAGCAGCCTGGGAAACACTCACTGTCATACGGCTGACAAAGCACTGAAAAATAAAAAAAAAAAAAAAAAAAAAAAAAAAAAAATTCCATAGTAGGCTAATTCTATCCTCAGGTACAAACATTAACATCTTAATGGTTTTGATAAGGGTCTTTAAATCTTGATGAAACAATATATTAGGTTTTTAATTCGTAATCAGCCACTCCAGATTTCATTTTAATAACCATTATATTACTTTTTTCTTGCTACCTGCCTCATCATGCGATTCTGTCTCAGCATCTGTAGGCGGAAAGACAAATTGTATGACCGCTGTGTGAACCAATACCAATGCCAATAGACGGTGTATGCAAATGAACAAACAAAGCAGACCAATGAACGTTCATGTGGGCGTGACTACACTGCTCCCAAAAGTGAATCAGTGAAATCTCCCCGGCCAGTGAGCTGCTGCTCCGTGATACAGGATAGTTGTCCAAATCTAATTTCTTTTGGATGTTTCTTTGTATTATTTCACGAATCCGTTTTTTTTGTTTGTTTTTTGTGTGTGTGTGTATATATTTGGGTTTCTAACGCATGACGGATTGGTTTGGTTACGCACAAGGAATGTTTCTGTAGTTCGGATCTCAGCAGTTCGGCATTGGTCTCTGATGGAACGAGACACAGCCTTTCTGTGCCCGTTTGTTTTTGGATACAGCGCAGATTACAGATCCCTGGGAATGCAGTAATCAATGTAGGACATATGTAACAAGTCCTCAAACCATTCGGAGGGTCTTGCCACAGGGTATCAAGACAAGCAAAAGCAGTTGTAAATGGATCGCCATTCCAGCCTTGTTTGTCTCTGGTTTCAGCTGGAACTTTGTGCGATGGCTGTTCTTCTCACGAAAGGTAAGACCGAGTTCATGTAACGTTAGCCTAGTCGTTTCTAAAAGCACACGAGTCTTAAAACTAAGACCATGTAAACTGCAGCGCGCAAACACAAGTCCTTCAAAATGTTTATATATCTCAAAACTTGTGTCGAATACTGGCCTTTTTTGCCGAAGAAACAGGAACGCGTGGCTACTATTTTAATTAATGGAAGTTAAACTTGTTAACAATATGTAAACAACTCATTATAAAACTTAAATGTCATTCTTACAACTGTACATTAACTACCTTTACAACTTGCATTTTACTTTTAATATATCGTTTTAGTAGGGAAAAAGAGGAATTCGATCTGTTAAAGTTTATGTTTCTGGATGCTAAAGTCTGGTTGTAGGACTTGATCTATTTTGGCTGGTCTAATAATGTCAACGTTAGAGCAGCTATAATCCAGCTATTTTGCTCCAAAACACTCCAAAGTAATTTTCTGAGTATTTGCAAAAAATTGATTTGCAACACTTACCAAGGCCAGCTTGCTATGTTCCGTTTTTATGCATTATTAGATAAGCACAACCATCAGAGATAAAATAAGAATAAACCCAATTAAGCCTACCTGATAAGAAGAACTCGAGCGATTTCTTACACTAATGAAATTACATGTAACTCCAGTTTTGAACAGTGTACACAAGCAGATTACAACAACACAAAGGCAGAGTTTATTTGTGTTCGTGTCGTGTTGTGTGTTTAGTGTTCTGGTCCACATACACGCGCAGTGGTAATTCGGCAATAGTTAAAAATGATGTACTGACTGACCACTTACTGAAACAGACTATACATTTTAACCGTATATATAAGCGCGAAATGTGAAGCTTTTCAAGTTTTTAAAAATGTTTACCCCAACCTTGGGATGAAACCATGAAAGAATTGTTAAACGCTCGAAATCTATATGAATGTATTTTTTTGGCGCACAAAATTAAATGTTAAGCATAGTCACCATTCGCTTTCATTGTATTGAAAAAAGATGCAATAATAATGAACCGCGACTGATGCTGTCGGTCCTTAACGTCTCCTTTTGTTTGTGCTCTACAGAAGAAAGAGGGTCATACAGGTATGAAACAACACGAATGCAAGTAAATGAAAGAATTTTTTATTTTTAGGTGAACTGTCCCTTTAAAAGTTACCCTCCGACTTAATGCCAGGTTTGACCACAAGTGGGTTTGCGTGCAAACTGAAAAAGGAGTCCTTCTCTCACCCCCCTTTACGAGTTTCCATTTGGGTTGAAAGAAATTGACTTTGGCAAACAAACCACTAATTATAAGCTACACGGTTCCTGTTTTATAAGACAGATTTAAAGGATCCCTTGCATGAAAAGGCATGACACAGTTACAGTGTTGAACAGAAACTGCCACATATTAGTGTTAGTCCTCTCTCTCTTTGCCAAATTCTGGCATAAGATCTGAGTAGTTTAGTTTTAGTTACTTATTTTCCTCACATCCTCTTGAAATGAAAATGAAGAATGCTTTCCTGATAATAAAAAGTTAACCAGTTGCAGTACTTCAAATCTTAGTAATGCTAGAAATACGGCCTGATATAGTTTAAATCTCTAATTAAATGCTCAATTTCAGTTGGAATGGATGTGATGGGAATTTCAGCATTCCCACGCAGTACCGGGCAAACTTTCAGTTACAGTTGACGGTGCTGGTCTGAAACACAATTATTGTCAAGAATCCTTGGAAAGTTCAACGTTTTCATTGGAAGCACTTCAGGACAGTTGTTTTATGATTTAATATATCCAGGATGGTGCATTAATGTCAGTGATATCGGTTATTAAAGATTTTAACTAACATGATTTCTTTGTTTTGCAGGAGAGATCAGGTGCTACTGTGACGCACCACACTGTGTTGCCACTGGATACATGTGTAAATCGGAGCTCAACGCTTGCTTCACGAAGGTCCTGGACCCACTTAACACAAACTCGCCTCTAACACATGGCTGTGTAGATTTGCTAGTAAAATCAGCGGATGTGTGTTCCAGCAAAAATGTGGACGTTTCCAGCGGAAGCGCCTCTCTTGTAGCGTGTTGCCATGAGGATATGTGTAACTACAGAGGTTTGCATGACCTCACGCACCCTCGAGGTGATTCGACAGGTGAGATACACAAATTTGACTGAAAAAGAAAGCTGTGTTAGTGGATTTGATCATATGTTGTTAGCTGTTTGTTTTATGTTTTAAAAGAGATAGATCACTCCAAAATTAAAATTGAAACCAAAAATGAAAACATTTTACTTGTCATTCCGAACCTGTAAGACTAATGGTCTTCTGTGGAACATAAACTTATTTTGAAAAATATCTTTGGTTACACTTTATTTTAAGGTGTCCTTGTTACAGTGTAATTATACATATAAGTACTGAGTAATATTAATTAACTACATGTACTTACTATATGGTTAGGGTTAGGATTAGGGTTTGGCTTAGGGTTACTTGCATGTAATTATGCATAATTAATTGTTATAATAATAGTAAGTACATGTAACATGAGTAACAAGGACACCTTAAAATAAAGCGTTACCATATCTTTTTTGGTCCTTACATTGAAAGTCAGTGGGGTTGTTTCATTGTATGGGCAAAAACAGTTGAAACATTCTTCAAAATAAATTCTTCTTGTTCCAAAGAAGAAAGTCATACTGGTTTGGAACGACATGAGGGTGAATAAATGATCACAGAATTTTCAGTTTTGGGTGAATTGTCCCGTTAACCTTACCTTGGTATAGAGTGTCTGACATTGAATGGGCCAGTAGGACAGTGATTCCTTTATGCGTAGATATTTTTTTATCTAATCGAAGTAGGATACTATCTTTACTGATGTCTGACGTCAATCCTGTGCAAACATGGACCCTTGTGACAGATTCTTTAATATCAGGCATACATGTGCGCACACATTGACTTTTACTGCTCTCACGGCTCCAAACTGCAGGCTGATATTTAATGGTTTCCAGTGCAGTGCGAGTTTGTGGGTAACTGGCAGTTTACCTTTTAGCACTTGGATTCAGATCACATACTTTTTATTGCACGTGGATCATGAAACATTCCCACTGTGCTGGAATGTGCTTCTCACAGCGTCCTTTGACAGACGGCTCAAAGCACATAAATGTAATCCTGTTTAATTAAAAAGGTGCGCTAAGATATTAAAAAGAGTGGAACAAGTATAAACGTAACACGTTAGCGTTCCTCATGCTGTTTTTTCATAAAAATCCAAATCTCACTTTGTCCTCACCATGCTCTCTCTCTCTATCTAGACCGATTCTACAGCTCCAATCAGAACCTGATCACAAGGGTGCAAGAGTTAGCATCCGCTAAAGAGGTGTGGTTCCGGGCAGCAGTGATAGCAGTTCCCATCGCGGGTGGGCTTATCCTGGTTCTGCTGATTATGCTGGCGTTGCGAATGCTTCGTAGTGAAAACAAGCGTCTCCAGGCCCAGCGCCAACAGATGCTGTCTCGCCTGCATTACAGTTTTCATGGACACCACCATGCCAAGAAAGGCCATGTGGCCAAGTTGGACTTGGAGTGCATGGTGCCGGTAACGGGACATGAGAACTGCTGTCTGGGCTGTGATAAGCTGCGGCAGACGGAGCTGTGCACGGGAGGAGGAAGCGGAGGCGAACGCCTCCTATCTCTTGTGCACTGGGGGATGTACACAGGACATGGCAAGCTGGAGTTCGTATGACTACTCAGAGCTTCCTTGTTAGGGCACAAAAGGGTAACTGTGTAGTTTGCTGTCGTAATTTTATTATCGTCCCGCTCGGCGTGTTATTGTATTGTCTCCATTACCATGGAGAGCGAAGAAATTTCAAGGACACAAATCTTTGTGTTTTCTCAAAAGAGCACTTTACTTGAATTAGAATGGCCGGTCACTGTGGGGCTGTGGTGAATATGAAAGGTGCGGAGCTAAGGACTATAAACTCCGCCCCTTCCCCACCAAGCCATGTCCTGTGGATCCTGGAATGACACTGAAGACTGAAGGATTCGTAAAGATGGTCTTATTTTGCACATTTGTATAAAACGGACTAGATGACTATGGGCTGGTTGGAAAGTTGCATTCGAAGTGGATTTTTTGAAGAATTTTACACTGACACCAGGGTACAAATAAGGTTTGTTGTAGTCAAATTGTATGAATAAAGGATCCAATCTTGACTGTAGCAAATCGCATGCCTCTGCTTATGATTTTGTTAATCAAACACATTTGTGTAATTGTGTTTTTACCTCTATTCAGCTCTGTGTGTGTGTGTTTGTGTTTGAGTGAGGAAGGTCAATCAGTAGCAGGGAAACTGACACAGGGGCCTTGTTCTAAAATAGTGCCCTTCATCTGACTGCGTCATCTCTGAAATCCCTCCAAAAGGGACACATTACATCTCTCTAGCTCTCTCGGCTGCTCTCTTGGGATTAATACTGGAGGTAGAGCGAGTATTTATTTAGTAAGTGAGGGAATGTCGGTAAGCTGTGAGTTCAGAGTCCTTCGCCTGCACTCGCTGAACACAGTAATTCCCTTGTATGCACTCTGGCTTGACTTTACAATATACAAATCACAGGCAGATTTGAGAACTGTGAAACTTTTTTTGACCTACTTTGAAAATGTGCTTGCAGCTTTATACACTAAAGTGTCCTTAAGACCAGCAGGAATTGCTAACATTCCTTTGTGATATAGTTCATTGCAGTAGATGTGTACAGCATAGGCTCCATATGACAGCTCCCTCTCTTATTCAGAGGATTGTTGGTGAAAGCGGCTCCTCAAGGTGGATAAGAAGCAAATAATATAGTACAAATATTTTATCTCTCGTGCTGAAAATCCTTTACCAAATTTGGTGTTCCTGGTCTTTTAAACATTGCTTGTTAATCTCTCCCTATGATATATCATCACCAAATCATAAATGTAATTGTTTTGTTTAGTTATTTTCAGCTTTTGAGTGAAAAAAGCTTTATCTGTGAATAATTTTGGCAATGTTTACTCAAAAATCGATGTTATAATCAGTTATATATTATCAGTCAAAAATGCTATTTTTTGGGCGGAGGTTTTTGTACCATGTGTGAGCAAAGACAGTAGGTTTTGTTCCAATGCAATAACATCGACTAGCATTTTTGGGAAAAATAAAATCAGAAAACACAACATAAGACACATTTAATGTCTGAATGCATTAGAAAACAAAATATTAACTTTATTTGAAAGAAACAACTTATAAGCACTCTTTTCAAGCAAAATATTTCACAAAAAAAGGTTAAGTTCAAAAATGAAGACAAAGTAATTGTGACACTTGGTTGTAAACGTGCATAGTTAAAGTCTCCCGGAAAACACTTGGAAATCTTTTAGTTAAAAGTCATTGCAATATTGGCTTTGAAAAGTGAACTTAGTTCTAACAAAAACATCATTTGTTTGCTGATGGCACATTTCAGTTTGATACATTTTTATTTTTTTTTCACATTTACACTTTTCAAAGATGTCCAAATACTTTTTTGAGGTCACAGTATATGAATAGTTTCAAATGTGTGGGTTGAAAATTAATTTGCTGAACCACAGAACTTAAGTATAATGCAGTATAATTCCTTGATTTTAAAGATGAATGAATTAGGATTAATGTTTAAAAATATCAAGTCAGTTTTATTTGTAGTGTGTTTATACAATACACATGGTTTCAAAGCAACTTTACAGAAAGGGATATTGTAATGGAAAGCTATACTGTAGTATTAACGAGTTTAAACAAAAGATTTAAAACGCATTCCTTCAAAAAGCTCTATAACAAAGCCATAAAGACATGATAATATAGTACACTGAACCGCTTCATTCATTTAAACGTTCTCCTGTCTGCAGCTTCCTCTCACGCCTGCTTTCTCTCTTTCTCTCTCCCATGTGTCTTAGCTGACCTTGCTGTATACCAGGACCCCAGAAAGACGCCATTAGCTGGCGGACCACTTAACAGGCACTAGCATTTGTGAGTTTAGCCTCCCCCTGGACTATTAGCGCTTGGTTAATGATAACAAAAGCCTGAGAGTTTGGACGAGCTAATGATCTCATTGTGTTCTCAGCTTCCCTCTGGCCAGTCACCTGCTTCTGAGACGAAATGTACTTTACTTAAATCTGTCTCCAAATAATTCACTTAAATTTTATTCACTTATTAAACCTTTTGTCCCCATCTTAATGTTTTTTTCCCCCACTTTTAATTTTGAATAATTGCAACTGGCTGTATTTACATTTTATTAAATGAAGAATCAGTGAATACAGAGTGTTTTGAATGAGATGCTGCAATGCATTTAGTCAAAAAACAAACAAAAAAACCCTCATTGGTCCGGATAAAAGCAGCACGAGGTGTGTATGCATCACTCATTGCTGTGGCAGTAGTCAGTCTGGCCGTTTGTATTGACATGCAAATTTAACAAGGGCACCGGCTGAGCCCTTTACAAGTTTAATTTGTTTTGAATTGACTTCAAACTGCCATTGCTTTCTTCTTATTCAGCAATGCAGCTTTATTGAGGCCCCCTGCCTATGTAGCCTCTGGATATAGTTCCTTTAGACAGATAATATTCGATTTTAAAATGTAAATCATTTTGTGGCCTCATGGGCCATTATTAGAAACAATCTGATAGTTACTGTGCATCATTAATAGTTCTTTTGATTACATCAGGCACATCCGTCAAACGCATGCATTTTCTTTTCCTAGCAATGTCTTTGGAGTTGTTCTGGGCCGTCATAACCATCAAATCATTTTCTCATAAATTTATACTGTTCATCTTTTTAAAATTTAAAAATCCAACCCATTCTGTAATTCTGACAACAACAAGATCTTGTCCTTACCTTGCTTGATTATTTATTAGTTCTACCAATGAAATAAACCAGGCCACTCCCAACAAACAAACACAACATGTCATCCCACACTGCAGAATTTGGAAGAAACTGGTTGTCATGGAAACTCAAGTGACAGTCATGTACTGGACACAGAACCTAAATATTTGAACAACTCGAAGAGCCGAGAGACACGCTTTGAAATTCACAAAACACAAACCGGAACGATGTCCTCATCCGCCTCTCATGTCTAAACATTTACGTCTGTCTGTCTGTGTCTATCTGTCAGTCAGTCCATCTATGACTTTTGATGATCCCTTTTCTTTCTTACAAAAGCCCGACCAAAGATGCTGGTGACCCCACTCAGCTTTGCTAGACTAATGTTCCGAAGTTTATTTCAGCCAAGCCTAAGGGGGAGATTTTGGCCCCAGGGACTGAGTGCGTGGTGATGTTGAAGAGATTGTGGAAGCAGGAGCAGACGGGAGTGGATTTGTTGCCAGTAGTCAGCAAGCAGTGCATTCATCTTTATTTTGTTTCATTTGAAAAAGCGTTAGAAATCCATATAGATGAGATTACACAAGTATTACTTTCTTATATGATGATAATGATGTTAAGAATATGGTAGTTTATCTTCACTCAAGTTATGTGTGTATATGAAATCTAACACTTTGCTCTAGTTTAATTCTGAACACAAAGATCTGATCTCACCTGGATTTCAAGTCAGGATGTTTTCTTCCATCAGGTTATTGTGAATATTTGGCAATACTGTGTCTCTTTATAAAAATGTAGAGACATTCTATCACTGCCAAAATGGTTGAAATGTTCTCTAATGAGTTTGAGTGGGAGGGAGGAAGGAAAATCATCAAAACAAAGGTGAGAATGGAAGAAAGAAAGCTAAAGGTTGCGTGCATGCTCGAGACTTATAATGGATTTCACAGACAGAATTGACTCCTGGCCTGAAAAGCCTCTTATCTTTTTTAAACTGTGACACACACCCTGATTTGGCAGCCGTGGCCTGAGGCCTCCTGCAGAGATATAATGTGTGCGTATTGTGAGTGCAGAGCCCTGGATTACAGCACTGAAAGAAGAGCAGTCTGTGCCTCTCAGTCTTCTGTCTTTGCTACGCTGCCACTGAAAAGCACCGACATTGATGCACCCCAGCGCTTCCTTTTGGACTTTTTTGAAATTTTTATGTTTTGAACTTTCAATACATTTTACCAAGAGTTTAATAACGTGGAAATTGACTAAGCCTATCGACTAGGCTTGTTAACCATTAAAGGGGTCATATGATGTTGCTAAAAAGAACATTATTTTGTGTGTTTGGTGTAATGAAATGTTTTAATGCGGTTTTAGGTTAAAAAAACACATTATTTTCCACACACTGTACATTATTGTTTCTCCTCTATGCCCCGCCTTTCTGAAACGTGTTGATTTTTACAAAGCTCATCGGTCTGAAAAGTGAGGAATGCTGTGATTGGCCAGCTATCCAGTGCGTTGTGATTGGCCGAATACCTCAAGCGTGTGACGGAAATGTTACGCCCCTACCATACTGTGATGCCCTGTTAATATATTTTTTGTATTATTGATCATTACAGCAAGGGTGCATTAAAGGGATAGTTCACCCCAAAATAAAAATTACCCCATGATTTACTCACCCTCAAGCCATCCTAGGTGTTTATGACTTTCTTCTTTCAGACGACATGGCTCCGGGGGGTTAATAAAGGCCTGCTGAAGTGAATCGATGCATTTGTGTAAGAAAAATATTATTTTTTAAAACTTTATAAACCATAATCTCTAGCTTCCGCTAACTGTCACGCGTTCACAAGAGAGTGGCATTCCAGCAGATGACGTAGGTCAACACTGATAATAATAAAAAATGTTTTTTTAGAACCAAGTCAGCAAATGAAATCATGTGACTAGACTAATCAAGGAATGGCTGCTGAAATTTCAGTTTTGCCATCACAGGAATAAATTACATTTTAAAATATATTAAAATAGAAAACTGTTATTTTAAATTGTAGTTTTTCACAACATTATTTTTGATCAAATAAATGGTGCTATGGTGAGCATAAGAGACTTCTTTTTAAAAAACATAAAAAAATCTTACCGACCACAAACTTTTGAATGGTAGTCTATATACAGTGTATGATGTAATAGTTTAACTAAAGAGAGCTTCAATCCGCAGCTGAGTATGTATCTGCATTTTATTCTGTGCCAGCTCTTGGTTTTGATCAAGATGAAAGCCCATGTTCCTGTGGACGTGACCTTTCATGTACGTCTTATCGAAACACTCTGCCAGGTCTGTATATTACAGGTTGTAAAGGCAATTATCTCTTAGTCAAGCTGGTGATAACTGAAGAATGCCATGAGCCACACCTGTAACCACACCTCCTGAGCAATTATTTAAAGGGTGTGGTTACAGAGTGCCATATGACAATGAGTCTGCTGGCAAGAGCTTTAATTCTGAGAGACATGTTTGCTGAATTATTATGTCTTTTGAGAAGGACTTAAAATCACTAAATTTTCATCGTGTTCGGCTCTGTTTTGAAAATAAACTGATAGCGTAAACCCTCGTCAGGTGTTTGAGTACTCATACTGAAAATTCAGCTTCAAACAGTACATAGAGACAGAGAAAGCCAATATTTATTTTTTTCTTAAGTTTTTTTTTAAATGCATTAGAAGTGTGATATAATGTATATGTAGAATAATAAATGTAATTCAAAGGTTGTGCATAGTAGAAGAATCACTAAGCAAAAAATCTCATCATAAATCTGACTGACAACATGAATTCATCTGTTTGTTTATTTTGGAGAACATCATCGCCACCACGTGCTGAGCATCATCTGCTCAGAGGGAAGTGAATTATGACAGTCGCTCCGCTTCGGTCCAAAACACAAGGGTTAAATGCTTGGCAATTATTCTTTTGAGATGTTTTATGGCAGTTCTCTGGCTAATGTTAAACAACAAGTGATTGTATGAAAGCAGAGTCAGACTCAAGAGGAGCGGAGCAGATGCCCTGAAAGAGAATGAGTAATTGAACTAAATACTGTAGCACAGACAGACA